CTCCAGTGGAAAATAATCCTCTGCATTAGCTTGTCCTCATTTAACTGTGTTACTTAATACAACCTTTTAAGGTTTACTGTATATTATGAAATATTCATCTAATGGATCATATGGAACCATATAAAATGTTTAAAATGTTAAAAAAAAGAGTACATGTTAAAAAAAAAACAGGCGGTGGTGCTTTAAGAAAAATCTTACATAATGTCTTTGAGGGTGCAACTGATCCTGCAAAAGGGTTGAGGGTAGTTAAAATCTGATATCACTGCATTATTTATTTGGATAGAATATGTATCTGATACTCTGAGAATTGGGACAGTAAAGTACTGGACTGTTATTCACCATATTTTTCTAAAAGCAACTGCATGAGTTTAGTATGTTTCTATGTTATTAGGAAGCCCACCTACTGTACATCAATGAAAGCGCTGCACTTGAAAAGAGTAGTATGAGAGACATCTCTTAAATTGCCCGAAAAATACAGGAAGCATTTGTGTATCTTGAAATACACAGCTGTCTACTTGGGATTGATGTTAAGCGTTAGCATGAATTCAATATTCACAACAAAACAACAGGGCACTGTTGTCTTTTTGTACGTAATGCCATAAATCAGAGCAAAGCAGAGTCAAACAACGATGACAATTCAAACTATGTGGATGTGTACTCACATGTACAGTATACTAATGTACAGTTACCTAAAAATAATGGATAACACTGCAGTTTCCTGCCTGAAACGACTACTGTAGCCTGTAATTATAGAGCTGCTCTTAGTGAGGCATCTTTTTTCCTAGAAAACACTTGCTGTTATTGTTATTGTGTAAACAGACACCTTGCATTCAAACTTCTTTTGCAAGTTTGCAAAATCAGCAGCGAGCGAGCGAGCGAGTGAGTGAGTGAGTGAGTGAATGAGTGAGTGCCCTTGGTCTTTTTGCCTCTGTACCTTCGTTTGCCCTCTCTGTTTCATTCACATACACACTCAGTGACTTGTGAGACTAAACTGAGGCTTTGTGAACTGTGAGCAGAGCAGAAACGGACACCACACTTAATGTATGTGAGCACACACAAAGGCAGACAGACACACACACACACACAAACAACCTCATACACACTCTGTCTTGAATACCTCCCAGTCACACTGTTGGTTATTTTGATGTCTCCCTTAGGGCCAATAGAATATATGTCTCATCTCAATACCACACATCACACTCTGACATTGAACGTCTTGCTGTGTATGTGTGCGTGTAAGTGCCGCATTTGCTATGAGCTCAGTTAGATATGTGACAAAATGGAACATTGACTTTATGAAGTACTCTGAGGTGACCTATAAGTCTAAGTCTGTGTCAGACATTAACCAGAGTGGCTGTGGTACTGTTCAGCTAGCCTCCTCAGAATCCCATTAAAAGACTGCATTGTTCAAGATTATTAGTGTTAGTGAATGTGTGGGAAACTGCAGAAATACACTGAAAACGTTCTTATTCAGTGTTAATAATAAAATAGTTTTGATATTTTATGTTATTTTCACATTAACTCATTCATTCAATAATGTTTGATTAACGTAATTACTGTTAACGCAGTTATTTCATTTTGAAAAAGTGTGTTGTTGAGATTTGTTTGGTTATTTTCCACTGGCAACGGGTTGTTTTTATATGTGCTAACAATAAGAATAATTTTATAGTGCAGCAGATGTTTACACAGATAACCAAAACCCAGGTTTCGCTTTGAGGCACAGCTGATGCACAGGTGACTCGGGTGACGTTGGTTCTTCACAATGATAACACATGTTTGCTCAGCTTTAATTTACTCAAGCCACTGACCAGCCTTTGGACCAGTTCCATCAGAGTCACTTCATAATTGTTCTTGCACATACATGGCTGTAAATCACATTTCAATATATATATTTGACCAATTTTTCCACATACAGTTTTCTTTTTTAGTGTGCTAACAGCCTTAGCCTACACAGTGTGTGGTCAGACAAAGTTAGAGAACTTATGTTTGGACCTCGAATGGTCTATCAGGCTACATTAAAGACATCACTGTGGATATAGAAGGTATGACAACCTATAAAGATTTAATGATACACACTTTCATAATGTTCTCAATTCATAATACTTATTAATTTGCTTCTGTGCTACATCATTAGAATGTGTTGAGGTGAATGTGATATTATTACCCAGATCTTTCCCTGATAATGTCTGAGCGCTTTACTGAGAGTTAACCTGCGTCCTTTATCTCATAGCTTTATTTAGCTCCCTTGTGCTAGGCCAGAATTCAAGGCTCAACATAATTATAGCCTCAGGCTCTGTGACATGATTTTAAAATAATGAAAAAAAAATACATTTTTACTTAAAAATATTTGAAAAAGATCTCTTGTCCAAACAAAAGACATTTCTTAAACAAATAATGTCCCGTATCCTTAATTCAAATGCTTTTCAACTATGCAGTCATATCACAGCACCATGTTTTAGCAAACCTGCTGTGCAGGTTGCAGGTACAGTACAGGTTTCTTGTATTTTTGAAGGTCCCTGTCTTAAGATGTGCCTTGGACAAAGTCACTCTTATTGTTCTTGTCGTTATAATCACGTTCACATTCTTTCCATCAGGTTTGACTTGATTTTTGTGCCTAAGCTCAGATGAGTACGATTGATTTTTTTTGTTCACGAGTGACACAGATCTCAAGGACAGTTTTTTGTAAGCATTTGAGGGTTTTTTTTAGACTTGGTGTCGTATTCACTCTATTTCTAAATGATGGCTTTATCTGCATCCATGTTGTGAGAGGGAATATTAATCACCTATTATAACATCTTCTGTATTACATTATCATGTTTACAGTGTCACTTGAAGTGCCTAAAATAACTAATCATATAATAGACTAGTTAATATATAGTAGGCCAAGTGTACAGTTTTATCAAATAAATAACATAAACTTAAAAAAATAGATTGTAGACAAAAAATGAACTTCACATGTATAAATTAAAGTTGTATTTGTTAACTCAAGTACAAAACTCAATCATTTTTCGTGCTCATGCAATAGTTTCTTGTGCTCACACACGTGATTGTTTGTTTTTTTATATTGTTGTCAAAGATGTCACGTTAGGGGCTCTGCACAAACCTACTTGTATGTAGCATGTGATTCTACTCATAGACATTAACAGCCACGTCATGCGAACACAGAATGTTTGCGACTGTCAGGTTCACTCACCTGTCCTAAAGCCTTTTCAAGTGAAAGTTTGTTTTAGCTGCTTGATCTGTTTTCTGGCAATAATCTAAAAATGGACATTTTGCTCACTTTTAGTCATTGACACATGTATATATTCAGTTCTGTTATGAGTGTGACAGGATGCTGTTCTTCTGTGCTGTCTTGCAATTCAGTTTTCACACTTTACTATGTATATGTCTGTGGTAAACAGTCAAACATTTGCTGTGTAGAACTAATGTATCTCTAGTCCATCACTGTTATTGATATAGATTATTATTATTTACCAGCATAGAGTATTATGTGACTTTTGATGGTATTTTTTTATCACCTCTTTCAGTAAAGGACATTCAGTGCAAACCAGACGTTCACATGTTCTTTGGTATTCACCTGGTTGTTCACCTAAACTTGTTTAAAAGGTTAAACCTGCACCAAGGGTAGCAAGACTTTGTTTGATTGTTGAACCGTAAGAATCAAACGTTTTTGTTTTGTTTTAATCTGCCTAAAGGTGAGAACAATGTCACAAGATAAGACTGAAAAAGAGTCATGTCAATGGAAAATTCCCAAGGGTGGAATGATGTAAGTGATTGAATTGATAAAACAAACGAACGGCCCGACATACAGCATTGAGGCATCAGACCTGGTGCATCCAGCTTTAGAAGATCCAAAATAACTGTACTTTATTAGTTTTTTTTTCATTCATTCATTTTATTAACTAAATTGTTTTCCCTTGAGCGCTTTGTACATGCTGTGCCATACCCTACTATACCACATACATTACCAACAGGCAGTCCATCATTTACCAAAGGACAAAATGTAAAAACATTCTAATGCTTCAGAACATGCCCCTCTGGTTTTTGTTTTTCATCTCTTTGACTCCAGACCAGCTCTCACCTGGTTCTCTACTTAATGCTGAGTTCTGCTGCCTCTCTGTGTGTATTTTACACACACCCTCCCCTTCCCTGTTGCTCTTGCACCCACCCCCTCCCCATATGCGTGTGCTCATTTTTTCCACTTTCTCTAGAGAAACAAGGCCCTTTTCTGTGAAGCAGTTTCTATGTATATGTGCACAGGAGGGGAGGGGAGGGGGGGGGGCAGAGAAAAACACTAAGGCTATAAAAACACTAACATTAATGATACATTTTCATGTGTCAAACATGACTTGGAAAAAAAAAGATCAAAACCAGTGCACCAAACATTACCATGATCATTTATTACCATGACACTATTATAAACGTGTCTCTAGAAATACGATGTCAAATAAAACTAAAGGAAATTTGTAATGGATTTTGAACAGAAAAGCAAAAGAAAAAAAAGTTTCTTTTTTATTTTACTACAGACCTGGTCATAGCTGACATATAGACTGAGGAAAAAATAGTCATTACTGAAACTTCAGGAAACAGTTTAAGATACTGTATTTTCCATTAGTGAATCTTTATCATTTCTGTCAGACTTCGGAATCTAGCAGGACAAGCAGGTCATGTGACTTTTTGTTTGTGGTTAACGTTAAACAGAAGTGATCTCTTTCAGTTCAGAGTTTTCTCGCCTGAAACTACTGGACGACGTTTAGGAAGGCTTTTAATGCACTCCTACATAAACAGCAGCGTTGGTTTAGAGCCTCGGTTGATTTTAAGACTAGAAACCAACCAATAGATTCACATCATTTAATAAAATGGAGGGGGAGGGGCCGGTGTTAAGCAGAATAACCTGTGCATACACTGCAACAGTTCACTCCCTCAGGACCTCAGCATGTGTTCATTAATGTGGAAAACACCAGGATTTTAAGAGCACAAACAAAGCTTGTCCTTTCATAAAAGATTAATTCTTGGAGTGGAAACAGGGCGACCGCTGTACATTCCTGTACAGACGTTTCCCCCATGGGTTCATAAGAAAGAACATTTGACTTAGTGTGTTACTGTGTGTAACACTGTACACTGTTACAAAATCCTGGACACAAGATTATATCTATGAGTTTTTGCACAGGTTATCTTACTTATTTTTTCAGCTTAGGTCATTATTGTCTTCATACTTTAAAATGAGCAGACCAAAAACCAAAAAGCAAATGTCTGTATGTCTGCACGTTCTCCCCAAGTGTGCATTGGTTTTCATACAGATGTCAATCTGTGGTTGACGAAGTGTGACATTGAATAGTTATTTGTCTGTATATGTGGCATCACAGTGGACTGCTGTACTGTCTAGAGGGTAATCCATTCTCGCTGGATTTGACTCCAGCTCTTGTCACAACCTTAAAAATAGGGTTAGCGATACATAATTAATGAATTAAGTGAGCTATCACGAGAGAAATCGTGAATCTTTTGAGAATTTTGATCTTAAAAGACCTGCATTAAATTAAAACCTGGTAGAGAATGTCTCTCTACAGTTTGGATCTAGTGGGCCAGATTTATTCCATTTGCTTATAATGTCTCAGTAAAAGCTAGTACAACATTATTCACTGTGATTGTTTTAAATGCAGCTACTATAGTAACAAGAATGTCAAGAGAGCAAGTTAAGGAACTTAAAGGCTCACAAAAGTGCTGTATGGAAAGAATCCTGGAGGAATTTTGTGGCGTTGGAGGCTAATATGCCCTGTGGGTGTTGTCCGACTGTGACGTAGTATTTGTGTGACTCCACTGTGTACCAGTCCCATTAACATCAAAGTTCAGAGTTATTGCAATTCTTCTGTAGAGTCAACCCAAAGGCTCAACTTGCCGCATTAAAGTGGTAAAAAAAATGTCCTCTCTGTGGTCCTAGAGGCTTTTTGTGGCACTGATGATTTATTCAACAGGATATGCTAAACCTGATAACAGAGGGTAAGTGTCTGCCCTTGTGGTACTTTTCAGATACTCCTGTCCAGATCTGTCTCCTACTGATAATGTCTGGCACATTATGGAAAGGGGACTCTGTCAGTAAGCACTATGAACTGTTAAGGTCAAGGTCAAGTAGTTATACAAAGTAGAAATGCAACAATTAATCCTCACTTCCCAAATGTTACAATTGTTGCTGTAATTATAATTACATAATTATAACTGTAATTGTGCTAGTAATTATTAGCGTTAAATCAGTCTAATCATTTCTAAACAACAGATGTTAAATGTCACCAGAGGTGTGTTATTGATATAGAAATTTACCAGCATAGACTATGATGTGGCATTTGACGGTATTTTTTTTTTTAGTCACCAGAGGTGTGTTATTGATATAGACATTTACCAGCATAGACTATGATTTGACGGTATTTTTTTTTTTTAATATTGGATGGAAAAACACTTGTCATAATTGTTGTGATTGCACCTGTCTTTGTTCAGTCATGCTGATTGAAGGTTGACACGCAGGACTGTCCTAACCTGCTCCACCAGCAGGATCACCACTTTCAGTAAAGGACATTCAGTGCATACCAGACTGGAGTCATAACACGCTTCCAGTGAACATGTGATTTTAAATGTTTAATGTCGTCAGAGGTTTGCTGAAGAAAAACAACGTGTTTTGTTATGACATATATTTTATTTATATTATTTTTATTATATTTTCAAAACTGCTGTGACATTATGTAAAGGGGAACTATGTAGAAATCATGGACAACAGTGCCTGTAGATGGAGCAATGCAGCCTTTATGAAGCAAGGATGTGGTCACTTTTGAAAGATAATTTTGTCAATAGTTAGTGTATAAGTAGTAAATGTGTGTATGTTCGTATATAAGAAATGTAAAAACAAGTTCTTTATTGCTGTACCAATGCTTTGGTTCTTCATTCATCATTACAAGCTGGTAGTTTTAAATGTTGTGTTTGAGTTGGAAGCAGCTGCTTCCTGTGTTGTCTGGGAAAACTGACTCTTAGGCAGACTTTACTACACACTGTAAACAAAATAAGTAGGAGAGATTTGTGCTTGAATTTGTGTGGATGTTTAAAGCCCTGACACTAAACCGTACGTCTCTATTGCAGGGGGCGTAGGTAAGCGGTCACCATGGCTCCATTCCTGCGTATCTCTCTCAATGCTTATGACCTGGGTGTTTTGCCTGCTTCACCCGAGCCTCCCATCTGTGCAGTCAAAATGAAGGAGTCTGTCAGCACAGGTATGTACAGTCTTTCCATCAAACTTATTCTACATTCATAGATATTGTATTCCTACAACCTATATACCTTTAGGTTGGGATTATTTTATTAATTTAGGATTCCATAAAATTAATTGTTCTGAGGTTGGGATTATTTTATTAATTTAGGAATCCATAAAATTAATTGTATTAATCTATAGTATCTAGTGAAGCATAGTCATCGATATCCAAATAAGTTTCCTACGTTTTTCCTCAGAGCGAGGAAAGACCTTAGTCCAGAGGAAGCCCACCATGTATCCACCATGGAAATCCTGTTTTGATGCTCACATCTATGAGGGACGTGTGGTGGAAGTTGTCCTTATGCAAAAGACCGAGGAGCCTCTGGCAAAGGCGACCGTCGGTGTGTGTGTACTGGCAGAACGTTGTAAGAAAGCCAAGTCTAATGGACATACAGAGTTCTGGGTGGACCTCATGCCTTCTGGGAGGATCCAGATGGCTGTACAGTTTTTCCTGGAGGACAGTGATGCAGGTAACCCCAAAGTTTAAAAGTTTTCCCTTAAAATATCCACATTGTTTTCTGATTTTATCAAAGATTTAAAAAAAACAGAATATCATTAAAAAGTTTCCCCTTAAAATAAATACATATATAAACACATTCAACGCATAAATTAAAGTTCTCAAACACGATGAAACACTGTCCGACTTAGAAGTAAGATTCTATAGAAAAAGGATTAAAATGTAGAAATTCCCTGACCGGGAATCGAACCCGGGCCGCGGCGGTGAGAGCGCAGAATCCTAACCACTAGACTACCAGGGACTTAAGGCCCTGTGAGAAATTACAGGCAGATGCACAGTGCCGTCAAACCCACCTCCACACCACCATCCTCTCCTTTTTTGTACTTGTCATTGAGGACCACAGAGATCTAAGAAGAGGGGGTGATTTGCAGTAGACAAGTTGTCATCGATGTACAGGATGTGGCTGTGATGGTGCAAACAGGAAGGTTTGCAGCTGTTTGCTTCAGAAAGTATGACTAATGAGAATCAACACAGGGGTTAAGTGTGAACACAAGTTTCTGGTTTGAAACCAGCTGTTTGCTTCAGAAAGTATGACTAATTGAAACCTGACAGGTTGAAAATGAAAGTCCTTAACACAGGGAGCTGTTAACTGAAAATAGTCAAGCTGCAGCCAAACAGGAATTTTACAGTAACAGTAACAGTGCCATGTCATTTAGGGTGAGGTTCCTCTCTCCTGCTGACACCAACACTGATTCAACATGCCAAACTTTAAGCTAACTCTGGGAGAACGCCTTCGCACCAGGATCGTAGGAATGCCAAAAAAAATTTGACACCTTGTTTTTGTTTGTCTCACTGCACTTCCTATGGCAGTCCAAACTGCCTCAGAAACATCATGCATTTCCTACAGCTGCTGGTTTGGAGCAGTATTTCCCAAAATGATCACCTCCTCACCTCCTCGCCTCCTCACCCTTCACATCAGCCCACAAGACATTTTCCAATTCCTTGTTTACCTGTGCTGGTTCACTTCTTCTATTTTGGTTTGCTGGATAGTCTGTTAGCATTTAGCATCAGGGTTCACCAGCACATTTGAAGGTGGACTACATTTTCCTTGTGAGTCTAGGTAGTCAGATTGAGACCCCCGTCCCCTGCACTAATGATTATCACAACTTTTTGACTAACATTTCACACAAATGTACACAATTCTGGAATTCTCAGTGGCAGTTCTTGGTGGTATTTGACCTCAGGCTCCATGTTAGCACCAAGCATACATGAGATTGAGGTACTGTTTTAAAGAGTTTCTTGAGTGGGAAGAGCACAGCACGTCTCAGTGCTGTGGGTCAGAGAAGGTCGTGAGAGGGGGGTGAACTTAGTGTTTCAGAAAGTCTCCCTACTCTTTCTGCTCCCGCCCACACTCTCCACAGGTTTCCTAAGAAATATTTTTAGTCATGAGTGAACAGCCCTCTTTACTGTCTGCCTCCTCTAAGCCCCCTCCTCTCTCCCCAGTCTGACTCCCTCAGACAGAGGGAGATTGGTGTATCTCCCTCACCTTATCCGCCTCCTTTATTTGTCCCTGTACACCAACTGTCTTCTCCTCTTACTCCTCCCTCCCTGTCCTCCCACCTGCTCTTCTTATCGCTCCTAAAGCATCAGCTGTGTTTGTTTATGCCTCTCACGCCTGTCTTTTATGCTCTTTGCCTTTTTTTTCTGGTGGAACTTTGATCCAACCTAACTGATTGGAGTCGCCTTCTTGTCACTCATTTGCCAGACTTACTTGTCACTCATTTTTCTAGACATTTCTTTAAGATTTTATTGGATGCATTCATGCAATTTAATAACATACATTACTACTTTAAGACTGAAACATGTGTTTATGCAATCAGAAGTCCACGATACTTCGGATTGAAATGTTGATATTGTCCTGAACTGTGGTGACATTATGGATTTAATATTTTAACAAATCAGTTTAATTTTGGTTTTATCTGTTCTTCAGACACAGCGGTGTGCACTTTAAAAACTTGTTGAAGTTGGCAGAGATCCTGCTCTGCAGTGGATGTGCAGCGCTTTACTGTAAATCAATCTTCAGCTTCATGTAGTGAAATCTTACACCACTGTCTGCTGACTCCCTGATGGGTTTCCTTTCACTCTGCCATGACAGTTTCTTCATATAAAAGAAAGTTTTTTAAGCACTTGATTATTATATTTTATATACTATAAAATACACTGAGTACATAACAGATATAAGTGGCCAAGTGTGGTTTTCTTCCACTTTGTTTACTTTTTGGGCATATACTATAAAATACACTGAGTACATATATACAGATATAAATGGCCAAGTGTGGTTTTGTTCCACTTTGTTTACTTTTTGGGACGTATTTTGAGTCGACAGGTTTGAGTTTGTGAAAGCCTCTGGGCACTACAAACAAAACTCCACTGTTGAAGTGTTGAAGTGACTCCATCTACTGTTGTGTTGACCTAGTCGTCCTGTTCCAAATGTTCACAAAGAATTTATAGAAATAAAACATTTGTGACATTCTTCCCTCAGCTCAGTTGAAGACCTCATTGAAAGCACCTCCTGAGGATGGCGCCACAACCCTCAACAGGAGAAGAGGAGCCTTCAGGCAACCTAAGGTTCACAACATTAAGAACCATGAGTTCATCGCCACTTTCTTCGGCCAACCCACCTTCTGCTCCGTCTGCAGAGATTTTCTCTGGTGAGATGAAAACTTAGCTACTTTTATTATGTCCTGTGTTATTACCTACTTTGTCAGAGACTTCTTTCACTGAGGTATTATGAGTTTTATGTTAGTTCATGGCTACAAAATATTTTTTCTGAACAATAACTACTTGTTAATAGGTCAGAGTTTGTTCAGTCACACCTGTGGTTTCCTAAATAAAATAATGCAAACAGGTGGTAATGATTCAAAACAAAAGTAGGGCAGCTGCTGTTGAGAGATTGAACAGGTCACTAGTGCTGGGAAATCCCACAAAGATGTCATGTTGCGTTCCAGGGTTTAACCTGTGAGTTTGGTAGGAGACAGGAGCTGTGACGTTTGTCTTAAGTCTGACTCATAGACTAGTATCACCTGAACTTTATTATCCACACAAGAGCTGTTTTCCACATTAGTCATTAGGTTTTTGCCTAAAAATAGCGAAGTGACTTCAAGTCTTTGGCGCAAAAAAAACCCCAAACAAAATAAACAACATTTATTTAAAATGTGTTTACTTTTGTGCCGTACTTTACTAAGGCACAAAAAGGCAAGTGTAAGAAGAAAGGCTGTGAACTCAGTTCATAACATTTCATTTACAAATATTTGATAACATCTTATGACCACTATTTATTTTCATTTTCTTCTTCTTTTCAGGGGCCTCAACAAGCAGGGCTACAAGTGCAGACGTGAGTGTTTGTTCCACTATATGTTCCTTTCTTTATCATATAGTGACATTGTGGTAATTTATATATAATGTTGATTATTTCTCCTAGAATGCAATGCTGCAATCCACAAGAAATGCATCGAGAAGATCATTGGCAGATGCACTGGAACGGCAGCCAACAGCCGAGACACTATTGTGAGAAAATTGCTTGTTTTCTTATTGAGTTAAATTTAACTTTTTTGTCATTATTTTTTCTCCTTTGTATTGTTGTGATGCAGTACATATAACATTACCTTCATTTTAGCCAAATCAACACAGTTTATTGGGTTTAATGAACAGAGACCACTTTAAATTAATGGACAATAAACAGTGTCACATAAAAGCCGCTATAAAAAATAATCTACGCCTTATTGAGATACGCCTAATTGCCCCCAAAGCGATGTAGATTTTTTTTATTTAGTCCCATTCTGATCCTGTGTTGTGGATTTCCTTTTCTGTCTGAAACATGAGTGACCTTGTGTCATTCATCCAACATTTTTGCTTTAAGTACAAGCTCACGGGATTTTTGTGTGTTTCCAGTTCCAGAAAGAGCGTTTTAAGATTGATATGCCACATCGTTTTAAGATCTACAACTACAAGAGCCCCACTTTCTGTGAACACTGTGGCAGCCTGCTGTGGGGTCTGTACAAACAAGGTCTAAAATGTGAAGGTGAGTTGAAAATGCACTTTTCTAGTGTTTTATCTGTTATGTTCACGACGACACTTTTCTAGTGTTTTATCTGTTATGTTCGTGACGATGACTGATGATTTTGCTTTTATTTCAAAAACATTTCCTTCCATAGACTGTGGCATGAACGTCCACAAAAACTGTCAGAACAAAGTGGCTAATCTGTGTGGCATCAACCAGAAACTGCTGGCAGAGGCGCTGTCTCAAGTTACATCAGTAAGCACAACAACATAATAGACGTGTTAGTTGGTTTAACATGGAGGGGTCCGTTGTTTTTGCCCAACTAATTATTTTTAGTGGCATTATAGATCATTTAAAGGGTATTTTTATGACACATTTTAGGTAACCTTTTAACTAGTTCTGTGTAAAAACACCATAAATGTTTAAGGACTACACTTCCTCCACAGAAAACATCTGTGAAGAAGCCTGATAACTCAGCAGATATTGGAATCTACCAAGATGTCCAAAGGCCAACAGTGGACCCTAGTGGTAAGAGCAAGTCCCTGAAGCATATGTAATTAAATTAGTTCAGTTCATCTTAAGAGGTGCTGGTATTTTTCATGGAAGCGTTTGAAATTATTTAGAAAATATACATTTATGAATTTAGCTTAAAAGATATAAAAGATAGTTATGTCTGTTTGGATATTTTTTCCCATCCTGGTAACTGTATAAAGAAATAAAATAAAATTTAGATTTTGTAAATATAAATTGTGACAGGGTTTTACCCTTAACATTGTGTGTTTTTGTATGGAATTCCATGATAAAAAATTAAAAGCGTCTGCAGTAACTCGTGTTTACTCTCTTTGTGTGTTCCCAGACAATGATAACAATAAAGCACAAGAGGGTCCGACCTCGGCAGTGGCTGTCGCTCCAAAAATACACCTCACCTTGAACCACCTTGTTTTCCACAAAGTACTGGGCAAAGGCAGCTTTGGGAAGGTAATCTCCTCAGCCTCTATCTCTGAACTCCTTTGTTCAAATTTAACATTAAAAATGTTTTAACACTTTATAGATAAAAGGGGTAAGAGACGGTGTGGATGATAAATCCATGCTTTCTTGGTTCATGTTAGAATCTTCAATAATGATAATGTACATAGTACAGAACTAAACACTTACTGTACTGTACTACTGTACTAGTACTTTATGAGTCTGTTGCTAACATCATATCTTCTGACTCTGACACCACAGGTGCTGCTGGCAGAGCTGAAGGGACAGAACCAGTACTTTGCTGTGAAGGTTCTGAAGAAGGATGTGGTTCTGATGGATGATGATGTGGAGTGCACCATGGTGGAAAAGAGAGTCCTGGCCCTGGCTTGGGAGAACCCCTTCCTCACACACCTCTACTCCACATTTCAGTCTAAAGTACATGCACTTGTTGACTAGTGTGATTAAAGTAAAAAAGCATTTATCTGAGACAATCTTTCCCAACTGACAGCTTTGAGTCTCTCTCAATTAAGTTTGCAAGAACAATATTTTATCTAAGACCCAGTTCAGATTTTGTAATTTTTATTTTTAAATTTGTATTTATTGCTATAATGGATGTATACGTTACAGCCAAAGCATAACCACATCTATTCTTTGAATGGCAGGCAATAAACAATCAGTGTATCTCACACAAATTATTTAGCCGTCTTCTGCCACCTAGTGGACTTTTCTGTCACTCTCATATTGACAACAAACCTACATTTTTTGCAGTAAATAAATACAGCAAAAGTGTTCAGACCAAATAAGTGAAACTGGATAATGGATCATTTTCCATGGTAGATCTGACGATCTCTCACGGCACACAAATGTGCCGCAATACCGTGGTTGAGAATCACCGATCTGAGGGACAGTTTTTAGTGCAGCGATTTGTGCATCACTGAGCTGACAGTTAAATTTGTTCTGGACAGGAACATCTCTTCTTTGTAATGGAGTACCTGAATGGAGGTGATTTAATGTTCCACATCCAAGACAAAGGACGCTTTGATCTAAACAGAGCCACGTAAGTGCAGTAATATCCCAGCCGTACCCACGATTTCAATTCAGTCAATATTCAATGCAATTTTCCCACCAACCCTCGGTTTTTCTAACCCCAGTGGCAGCCACTGGAACTCCCTAGTGCCAGTGTATAGAAGTATTCCCACAAGTTACACAGTGTTCTAGTCAACCAGAGTTCATTTTAATTTCTCGGCCATTCTATCTTTCAGATTCTATGCTGCTGAGATCATAGTGGGCCTACAGTTCCTCCACTCTAAAGGAATCATTTATAGGTAAGAGCCTTTTTTAGGGACCAGGAGAATCACATTTTAGAAAAAGAAGACAAATTGCCTTTATTGTTGTTGTACATAAATTCACATACGATTATCCTACGTCTTCTCATAGAGATCTGAAGCTTGACAATGTGATGCTGGACAAGGACGGCCACATTAAGATAGCAGACTTTGGCATGTGCAAAGAGAAGGTTTTCGGAGAAGCCAGAGCAACCACATTCTGTGGAACTCCTGACTACATTGCACCAGAGGTTTGTACTCAAACGACCGTACTCCAAACATAGTGTACCATATTAACTTGTTTATTCCTTATTTTCTCCATTTTCACCTTTGACCATCTTTCTACCTCAGATCCTGTTGGGACAAAAGTACACCTTCTCAGTGGACTGGTGGTCTTTCGGTGTGCTAGTGTACGAGATGCTGATTGGTCAGTCACCTTTCCAAGGCGACGACGAAGATGAGCTGTTTGAGTCCATCAGAACAGACACCCCTCACTACCCTCGCTGGATCACCAAGGAATCCAAGGCCCTACTGGAATTGGTGAATAAACTATAATGAGACAGACTGAAGCATTCTATGCTCCTGTTTGCAGTTGAGCAAACCATGGATCTTTAAAACCTGTCAGGGACTTAGTTAGACTTAGATGGATCTTTAAAACCTGTCAGGGACTTGTGCAATTATGCTGTTTGTGGTAATAATGTCCTGTCATAACTACAGCTGTTTGAGCGGGAGCCCAGTCGCAGGTTGGGTGTCGTTGGAGACATACGTGCACAGAACTTCTTCAAAACAATCAACTGGCCAGCACTGGAAAAGAGAGAAGTGACTCCGCCTTTCAAACCCAAAGTGGTACGAGCCTTTTTTTGGCATTAGATGAAATATTTAAAAATGTGTTCAGTTTGGGGTTCAGTGAGGCTTAGTTAATGATGTGCTCCAGAGAATTTTTTAAAGCCAATGCAATGATAACAGAGAAAAAAGCTTAAGGAAGTGGAACTAGTTCAACAAAAGCCAGTAGGAGTGTTAGCTAAAGGTTAGCTGAGAAACGGCTTAAGGTTTGCCACAACAATGCAAACATATGTGAACATGATAACATGTTAGTCAAAATATATTTCCACATTTTGATAAATTTGCCTTTCTTTTCTTCCTGTATTCTGATTCAATCTGGTGGTACCAGAAATACACATGTTTAATTCTTCTTTGAACTCCCTTCATCAGAAATCTGCTAGTGACTGCAGCAACTTTGATAGAGAGTTCCTGAGCGAGAAACCTCGACTGTCGCACGCTGACAAGAACCTCATCGACTCCATGGACCAGGCGGCGTTCGCCGGCTTCTCCTTTGTGAACCCCAGGCTGGAGGAGATGATGAGCAAATAAACAATCCAGCGAGGTTTTGCTGAGAAAACTCAGTGACTGCTGCCATATTTGTCTTCACCGAGATCAGCTGGACGGATTAAGACAGGATCAGAGAAGATCTGGGCTGTTTCTTTTGACTCTATCCTGTTCCCTCTGTCGGAGGAGCAACAGATTAAACAATATTCACATGTTAGCTGGTGTCTCAAGCTCCAGGAAATGAAGTAAGTTTCTTAAGAAACCAGTGATTATTCAAAGCTGGGGCTGCTGGTCATTGAAACTAGGGATGTCTGATATTAGCAGATTTTGTAATATCTGTGAGAATCGTTATTGGTTTTTCCTCCGATAATGAAAACCTGAAACCTCAACACTTAACTTCCACCACCACCGCCCTGCTATATCAGTATTGGTTGATATCGGAAATCAAGTGTTTAGGCAATATCAGCATATCAGATATCGGCAAAAAGTTAATATCGGACATTCCTTGTTTAAACTATATGTAAATTAATTTACTAGCAAATGGTTTCTGATTAGTAGGAAACAAATGTCTGTTCATACACAACACTGTGCTTTAATCCCTCTGTGTATGTGTATGTCATCTGTTCGTGTGTGTGAGTGAAGGTATTTTCTTAAATGCAAATGACATTGTGTCGGCCTTTGTTCAGGCATTATGGTCTGTAAAGAAAAGGGAGGGGTTTGGTTGACTTGGACTTCCAAGTACTGGAACACCACTAAGAACAACAATAAATTACAGCAGCACTGGCCTATGCTTGTTAGCTTAGCATAGTATATGCAGGATATTAATTTAATATAAGATTTTTAGTCTAAGTACTAGCCAAACACACTCTGTACAATGTAGTATCACTACAGCTGGTACTTGCAGTCATTTCTAAAACAACACACGCACAGGAGAGCTTGTCATGTTCAAATGTTTCCTCTGATTCCCTCTTCATTTTATGATAGTTCCCTTTCAGATTCCTCTAAAGAGCACAAGAGAGAACCCATGTACCACCACTAGCCTGCATACCATACAGTATATTTAACGAATACCTGTACTGGTGCACACAAACACTGGCATCCAGAAACAAAAACAAAAAAACATTCTGTAAGACAGAGGACCACATTTTACAACATTTTTATCTTTTAATATTATCTAATTCTTAACTTTTTTTAAAAGTTACAATAAAACACTTTTCTGAGAAAAATATTGTTTTTTTACTATTTTACTAGAGTAATGACAAATAATGACCGAAATTAATTTTACAATTACTTTTAGTAATTTTATAAGCCAGCATTCAGAAATTTAAATTTTAAAATCTAGTGCAAATGCCCCAGCGGTGGGGCAGTGGTTAAGGAAGTAAAGTGCCTGCCGCCTGCCTGATTATCAAAGTACAGTGACTAGAGGCTGTTTATCATTGATAATGTTCTGTTCCTCAGTTATGAAGGAGTTAACAGTTACGGGTATGGGAGGGGATTGAGGAGGTGTGGTGTGAGTGTGTGTGTTTGAGGAAGAGAGAATGCGGAGAGTGTGAGAGGAGAGTTTAGAAGGGGTTACTGCGGTTGTGTTTCACTAAAAGTTCTTCAGAGCACTGAGACATCTGACTGGTCCAGAGCACTGAGGCATCTGACTGGTCTGGGTCGGCTGATATTATTGGACATCTCTAATGAAAATTAAAAGACGTTTCCGCCATTCATCCCTCAGTGTATGTTCAATATTAAGGACAACACAATATACACAGTGAAGGGTATTAATAAAAAGCACTTTGTCTGTTGAATTACTAGGAAAAAGTGCAGCTGCCACGTGGTACTCTTTTTGTTAATTGTCATACATGTTTGTTTCTGCTGTATATGTCTGAACGTTGTGGAAGACTTTCCATCGTGTGTGAGGTTGAGGGGAGTCCTTCCACAGGAAACATAGGGTCTTTACTTGAATCAAAGGTGAAACAATAGAACTGCTGTCTACTTTACATGAAGCTAACTTGTATGTAAGTGTAAATCTTACTTTAGGGTATTTGTTTAAGCGGTGTCCTTCTTTTACAGCTGATTCTGAATAAATATTCTTTAGAATCAAAGTGTCTACCTGTATACTTGTACTTGTACTATCATAGGATTTTGTTTACCAGTGATTGTGGATAATAACGTTTAAAAATGTATGTATATAAACTCAAGAACCCCGATGTATTCTGGTCAAGACAAAAGTTTGATATATTAGTATATTAGAAAAGCATTTCATTGTAACACACTATTCAAAAAGAAAGCGTTAAGTGAGTTTAACTGCCATCTAGTGGCCAGATATAATACGTGCACGTATAATCTCATTTCACGAGAGGAGAAAAGCCAGATATAATACGTGCACGTATAATCTAATTTCAGGAGAAAATACTTTAATTCCTGCGTTGGCGCCGCGGCAGTTTTGTCCCATCTGTCCTCTCTGTCCTCTGCGTGTACTCAGTGTGTCCTCGGAAGTATCTCAGTGCTACTGCAGGACTTTGTCTCCACAAAAACGTGTAATCTGGAGAGAATACTGCAGCAAAGATGGAGCCGAAGAGGCTGCTGAAAAAAATTCCTTTTATGCAAACCTTGAAAGCTTCACGCTGCATTCAAGGTGTAGAAGCCTTATTTTAAAGAGACCTTCACACAACTTAAAAGGTAAAACGGTACATGTAAAAACCAAATATGTGTTTTTAAATACTTCTATATTGTATAACAATAGCCAGAAAAGAAAAGAAATATCCATACATCAATAATTGAGTAACGAATGTCTATCCGCAATAAAGGGCGTCCCAGAAATATAATTATTTTCAACCTATTAATTTTAAACCAAGCAGCAGCAACACAGACGCTTACATTAATTTTACATTCTATGGAAAAATAATCATTTCTAATGCATTTAAACACCTGACATTTTAATACGTTTTTATCACCAATTCAAAATATTGTAGTTAATTGAAACGTTGAGGTAGAAGGTGTTATTTTTCAGTCAATAGTGAACTCATACTTAGCCTAAACTTAGCCTTAGCCCAAACGCTAACCTTATTGCTAACCTTATGGCTCTGTGTCTACCTCAATTTTGGGGGAAAATATTAAGTTTAATTGTTTTAAACCTTTGAAATGTTGTTTAAGTTCAGGTTAGTCCTTCAGATGTAAATTAAATTCTAGTAGCTTGATCAGATGAGACACAACTAGAACAGGAAGTAGAGATGTACAGTAGCCAATGTTTGGAGGTGGGAAGGAGAGACATTTGACATAAAGAACATTGTACCAGCAGTGGAACACAAAGGTGAGAGTGTAATGTTTTAGGAATTACTCAGTCAAAACGAAACTAGTAGTCTTGTGGGGGTGGAGGAAATAAAGACAGAAGGATGCAGCAAGATTTTTTGAAAGAGAAAACCTCAAACATTTAGCATTAAAGACTTGGGTTTTGGTTTTTGTTCATCCCTAAAAATCTACAAAGAAGTTTTTGGGTTTTGGTTTTTGTTCATCCCTAAGAATCTACAAAGAAGTTTGGTGGAAACACCACTCTCAAAAGAGGTTAGTCTTAAATCTGGAATATGTGGAGAAATCCAAGATGCTCTTGTCTCCCCTCAATCTGGAATATGTGGAGAAATCCAAGATTTTTTTTTCAAATGCTCTTGTCTCCCCTCGTACACTATAAGATTCCTCCTCCATTTCCATCAGTTTGGGCATTCTTGGCCAGAAAAACATAATGGTCCCCTGCTGCAGAGTTTTATCTATCTATCTATCCATCCATCCATCCATCCATCCATCCATCCACCCATCCATCCATCCATTCATCTACACTAAGAGGAAAAGGGAGAGAAGAGTCAGACTTCAGCATCTATAAAAAATGATTGAATGAATTTCAAGGAGTAAATTCCTTCACTCCCTCCCACATTTGTTTCGCACCGAACGTTTCCACATCTTCAAGCAACATCCGATCACTTCAGATTTTCCCTCTGCACGAGCACCAGACTCGGATATGACTGTATGAATATTATTTTAGCCTTTTGTTATAATGGGCTTCGGCAGAGGCAGACTGGAGGATTATCTCAGGCTCGGCTTCAGCAGTACACAAACACACCATTGAGTTTCAGACAACAGCTGGAAGCCTCCAGCAAACCATGTAGAAGCCGATGTATTAGTTTAACGACGAAAAAAAACCCACACGTGTTATATAATCTTCTTATTTTATGTCTTTTTACAAAACAGCTTGACTTTGAGCTGGGCTCTCCCTGTGTTACGGCGCATTTTGTTCGAGCACTTCCCTTCTCCTTTTCCCGACATCAGAAAAAGACCTGAGCCTTCCCTGCGTCGTCCCTTTATTCATGCTTTCACATCACTTATTAAACAAATAAATATGAACAATTAAAACCATAAATGACACGAACTACAGCATAGCGCATTTAAAATACTCCACAAAGGGATAAATTCGAGATGAAAAAAGCCATATTAAAAATATAGAGAAATACTAATACAAAGCGCTTGTATTAAAAGTAACTCGCTGAGGTTTTAAAGCTGCGTGTCATTAATTCCAGCCTCCATTAAATGAAGTGTTTATTCCTCTGTGGATAAAAAAATATGTTGTTTTTTAACGACGGTTAATAAAAAGCTTCAAACAGCACAGCGATGCTGTCGTCTCTTTTATTTTTAGTTTATTTCCTGCTCTTTTGTTCGAATCACACATATTGGTCGTGGCTGTGTGGTATTTTATTGTGTGAATGTGTACGTGTGCCAGTATGTGTGTGTGTGAGTGTGTGAAGATGGAAGTCAATGTGATGTAGCCGGGCTCAGAGGCGTAGAGGCAGTGACGCATGCGCACTTGAGGTTTCGTGCCATATTGGAATGAGGTCGTGAACGAGAAGTGCATCAAGTTTGCAGGACTCTGCCGCGTGTACAACGGAAGTTACGGGATTATTATCTTTAACAATAAAAACGTCCAAGTAAAAACCACGAATCAGTGTGAGTTAAACTTGTATAAATCAACTTATGTTACATCAACTTGATTGAAACAACAGATATTTTAGCTCTTATTTATCTGGACTGGGATTAAAAGTGGTATTTCATAAGCTATTACTTTTTACCTCTTATGTAAACATCCTAGAGGCCATCTGAGAAATAGCATTAGGTTAATCTTTAGATAACTACAACATTTGATACAAAATTAAATTGATAAAAAAATTGCAGTGACCCAAATGCCCAGTAAAATACGTAATATACAATAAAAAAGAAACACCTTAAAGAAATAACACATTGATAAACTGCTCTAAATTAACTTACAATTTGCCAAAAATAAAAAAGTGAACCAAGAATTAGCTAAAACTTCAATAACAGCCAAAACACTGTACAGCTATAGATCTACAACAAATAACTGACATGTACAAATGGCTGGTTCGAAAGTACACATTTTTAGAAGAGTAAGACAAGTAGAAAGCGAAAAGTTGTATAACTGAAAGGTATATAAATCAAGCCGTAAACCCACTTTGTCATAGAGGGCGCTTGTCGTTACAGAATAACGTGTGACTGCTGCTGCTGTGACACACGCCGGTGTTTTATTTTGACAGGACAAAGCGGTTATTGTGAGCCCAGACTACCTCGTGAGCTTCACGCTGCTACTGCCAGCGAGCAGGCGGAGAGGAACGGCATCTAAAAAAGCCACTTGGAAAAACTACTTATCGGTAAGAGTCGAATTTGGTGACCAAATATTCACGTAGTGCGTGTTGTTTGTTGCGGAATGGTGGTGGTGTTTTATGTGGCGGCTGCCTGTGTGTCTTTTTTCCCGTCTCTTAAAAAAAGATGGGTCGGGTTCGGTCGAGTGTACAGCTCGTCAGTCAGTCAGTCAGTCAGTCAGTGAGCCTGCTGCTCTTCTTATTGCTCAAAGCCCTGACGGCCAGTAACTTGACTCGGACTCAAGCGGTTATTTCCTCCCATGTGACGCCGGAGTCCATGCACACACGAACGGTTGATGTTGCACGTTGGACTCAGCGATTATTTTTTTACAGGCCAGTTAATCGATAATAGTGTGTTTGCCTTGTTCCACCTCGGTGTGAAAGTTGCAGTCTCTCTCTCGTTCTCCGTCTCACTCTCTGTTAAAGATTCAGCGTTTAAACATTTTGTTTTTGTTTATTTGCGACATTTTTTTATTCTCAATCACCCGAGTCCGACTCCTCTTTTCAACATTTTTCCGAATCGATACATTTTTGTAGTACACGATTATTACCTCCCTCCATTATTTGACTAGTCATTTGGTCCGTAAATGGTGGATATATCACGTATATAATCTGAAATATTTGATAAACTTTCAAAGGAAATACAATTTGATTAGATAAGTCAGTTTATTTCTTCTAAACAACTTGTTGTTCGGTCCATAAAATTGTACCACGGAATCCACAACAATCACTGTAGTATGTATTTAATTAATGTTTCATCTGACTGACTAATAACTTTCTCCTACATTTGGACTTGTCACTTATTCAAAATGTACAAATGGATCAAATGTCACGACTTTTAATGTATCAAGAAATTAAGAAGCCATATTAAGCCAATGGTATGTGATATAATCAGTTTATAAAGAAATTATTTGGTCCAGAAATACAAAAAAGTAGCGTTGTGACAATGTCAACCTGCAGTCCCAAATTTGGCTTGTTCACAGTGTATAGTTACCTGGAAGGTCATTTAGTCAATTATCAATGTCAGTTATCTGGCACAACTAATTTGGCAGTTGATCAGTCTTTAGGTAATTGACTAGTTGTTGGGGACCCAAATATTTGGGCGTGGATCACATACCTGGGCTGTTTCGCTAGAGTTACCTACAGAAAGGAGTTAGTTTACACCAAAATTATGAAAAAACAACGAGTAAATGATGTTTATTTATCGACAGGTCACATTAAAGTGTTAGGGTTAGTTGACATGAGTGTTACACAAACAGAAAAAAAAAGTAAAGAATTAGTTGGTGAATCTGTAATAGTTCATTTCATTCGTACTTGGTGTTTGGTTTAAAGATACGTCTTTTAATACATTTTTTTATTATTGTTATTTATTCCTATCAAGCTAGACGTCTGTAACTTTGTAGTCCAATAGCCTTTGATTAATTGGTTTTGAGTGTTCAATTCATTGATCAAAATTAAAAAAAATCTTGATAAGCAAAGCTACAAGTTTTGAGTTGTACTTATCTATAAATACACATTTACCATCATAATCAGTACTAATATTTGATTGTTTACCCTCCTAAGTGCACACTGAAATTTGAACTGCCTTTCCCTGACTGTGAATACTACAATTATAATGAACAGCTAGTTCAACACTGAAAGTATTTGCACTTATAAAATGGGATTGTGTGGAAATTTCCATCCACTTGCCCTTGAATAACTCTGTGTTTTCTAGTTTTAGATAATGAAGGTTACATGACTTTAGCTGCTTTTTGTTTTTGCTGTCTATGACTACATACTTACACAAAGGCATTTTATCTTTTTGGAATGTTAAAAATGTATTACAGATTATTTCTAGGACAAATTGAGCCAATTAGAACTATTGTAGAGCAAAATAAACGATTATTTTTGGTGCATTTCTTTGTCATCTTTTTATTATTTTTAGTGTTAATTTGTGGTCGGACTTGTAGTTATTTTACTATGTAGCATATTTTTCATATTTGCTTTGTGTAACTTTTAAGTTGGAGGAATATGTTTTTCTTACCTTTTTATTCGCAGCTTGTCTGGATTACGATTGTCACACTTTTGATTATCTGGCATGCAACGAGGAAATGCATGCCACATGCCAAATGTCATTTTGAAATGTGCTACGGCAGCCTAGTGAGACATTTTTGAATCCAGACTTTTTATAAAATCAAGTGAATTATACATTTCAGAGATAATGATAACCTCCATCACGGCAGTTCAAAGGACAAGCAAAGACCTTGTTTTTTCCACTTAGCTGGCCTTTATTTGTAACCCAGTCTAATACTGATATCACAGTCTTAAATCTTAAACAACTCCCATGTAACTGATGCTCCCAGCCTTTTAAACAGCTGAGCTAACAGGAGCGAAGAAACAAGTAAATAACAGACACAGCATGTTTACTGCTCAGAAATAACAAGACATGACAACATTTATATTTTTAACTGTGTGTCAGACTGGTGCGTGGCCTCCACCTGTTATTAGTCGAGGTGTTATGGTGTCAGTGGGTTGGATTGGTTTGTGTTTGTAATCATACATGATTCAGCCCAACTCATTGTTATGGCCTCCTACGCAGTGGCAGTCTGTGATGTTTTTCACCAACCATAGGTGTTAAGGGGAGTTTGGAAAGTATTGGTTTTTATGCTTGGTATTTGTTTGAAAATGATTGGACCAGATAAACTGTTTGCCTTCATTTTCAGGGTACAAATGAAACAATGCTACATCACGACTTATCATGGTTGATTAAATACATAAACATAACTCCAGAATGAAAAATATGAGCAATGCTGGAACAGAAGGAAGAATAACAGCTGGTTGATGTAGATCTACCAGATTAGTCACTGGTAGATGTTGTGACTAATCCAAATGATTGAAATATAAATATGAACAAGAAGTCCTCAAGCATGCCAAAGTGATTGAGGACGGGTGGTGGATTTCTTAGATGCAGTGTGTGTTCAAATGTTTTTAAAATTTGAATCTGACTGATTTAACAGATGAATTATTGCAGTAAACACGTTCATTTTAATGATGATGAAGTATGATGAAATTGGTACCAAGAAGCCTAAGTGGTGCCAAAAAAATATTCCCAACACTGTTTTACCACTGCTTTGCGTTGTTATTGAAACTCAAATCAAACTAGTCTGGGGTTTATTATTTTACGATGCTGTTTAATTTACGGTAAAGGTGTGCTCTTTGTGTCACAATTTAGGCTCTTAGTATGAAGGAATGGAACCCTCACTACTAGAGGTTTTTGGATCTAATGTTGTCTGTTAGCTCAGACCAGTCTGGCTGTTTTTCTCTGCTTTTGCCCAGAGAACTGGCAAATACTGGATATTGTTTTAGGAACAACTTTCTTTAAACCCTAGAAATAGATGTGCAGAAATATTCCAATACTTCAGCAGTTTTTTTAAATAATCACACCAGGCTGTGTGGTTTACCTATTCTTATGTTCTGTTCTTACTCATACTGTACAGGTAATTACCTCAGACAATGTTGAAAACCTGGCAGTTATTAATGAAGTTTCATACTTTTAAACTTCTGGGGATTGATTTGCATGCGCATAATAGTCTGATTAGAATCTGTTTAAACAAACAGATGAAAAGGTGAATCTTAATGAAGTGGGCACTAAGTGTTAAAAATGTCTGAACTCTTGAACACTGAGCATCCCCCCCCCACTTCCCTTTTAATATGAAGCTCAACTTACTGACATCTCTTAACCTCAGACCATAAAACCAAAAATGCAGAGCATAGTGATGTAGCGAGTGACATTTATGTAAAAAAAAAAAAAAAAAAAAAAAATGAAATGGTGACTATGGAATCAAATAAATATCCTGCGCTTTATGGGAATTTCTCAAAATAGTATTTGAGAGAAAAAAGTTAAAAAAAAATTCTTATACTACATATATAAACATGAGAAACGCGTGCTAATTCTCCGCCTCATTACCATTGTAAACTGAAATCCCTCCTTGCTAGTGATTCACACATGCCATTAAATTGTGTTAGGGGAAATGCTTCAGCACATAATTCATTTTTTAAGCTTACTTTGTCCTGTTTCCTGGAGTAGTTTCTCTCTCTCTCTCTCAGTCTGTCATTTTCCCTCTTTCTCACACACTTTGTATGTCTCTCTCCCTCTGTGTGTGTGTGTGTGTGTGTGTGTGTGTGTGTGTGTGTGTGTGCGTTTTTAGATTGCGCTTCCCACCTTAAGGACCTCGGAAGTTCTGGAAGGCCAGTTTAGAGACGTTCAGTTGCATACTAAGTGCTTGTGAGAGTACAATTCAGTAAGTGCTTGTACCGGGGATGTAGTGTGTGGATTGGACTTGTTTTTGTGTGTTTGTGATTGTGTGTAAGTGTGGGCGTGCCAGATTTGGCCCTCTCTCCCTCTTTCTCTCTGTCTTTCTTTCTCTTTCTCTCTGCATTTCTCCCTCTCTGCTGCGTTGAGTGGAAGCCTCTGCTGGTGCAGAAAGATTCAGGCAGACTGCTGATTGCTGTGCTCCACACAAACACACTCACACTCACAAACCACTTTGCTGCTGCGTATGAAATAGGGGAAGTTGCTTTTTTCTTCCTGTGCTGCTTTATAAAGTTCAGCGCTACAGAAACAGTTTCAGAAGGCTGAGTCAGAGCCAACATGACCAGCGCGCTAGCTTGCTAGTCTTGGAAATAGTCAGAGAGATACCAAGTCAGATTAGCACCTTGGAACAAAACAGTTTAACTTCACCCTAAAATTGACATGGCAGGGGATTAAAAAAGAAACCTTGAATATATTTTATACATATATATGTATATTTGTATATATATATATGTATATGTATATATGTGTATATATATATACATATATAGTAAAATAGTAGAGTAGTAATAAAATAAGAGCTTGATGTTTGCTGCATGTGGGTTTACAGATGAGCTTAGTGTCACAGATTCTAGGAAAAGGACATGTAAAAACTAAATGTTGAATACAAAGTACTAAAAGTAAAAAAAAAAATCATATCATGTCATTTAACAATTTTTAATTGGCTTGTCAAACGTAGCTCTCTACCTACATTTACTGAGTCCCAGCAGAATCCAGTTAGAAATAAACATGGCATTTCCCAACATCAGTGGAAACTTTCCAAAATTCCCTTGCAACATTTTAGCACAGACAGTTTTGGGTATTTCCCACCTCAGACCTACAAAATGTCACACATGCACATACGGTCGGTTTTGTCTAAAAAAACCCAAAACACTTAATATTCACTGTTATTCTATGTTATTATAAATTAGTGCTGAAGTCAAAAACTAAATAAATATTATTAAATATACAAGCTATAATTCAGTCAATTTACTTTTTATTGTCTTGTGTCTATGTGTATTAAATTTGCAAATCTATAGAAAACATTTTTGAAAAACATTGATCTTAAATTGAACATTAAAGTATTAAATGTCAATTAGTTTGTTTTTTTACTTAAAAGTAGCAAATAGGTAAATTGTCATCGCAGAAAATAGAAAAATAACTTAGTTTAGATTTGAAAAAATGGAAGTGGAAGCTAAAAGATGGGAATTCATACTGTATAGTACAAAGTGGACAGATATTTATTATATAACTCAGTACTAGGATCATCATAGTTTTCACAGTGGGTGGGTTTTTGAATTAAACATTTTCCCCAAATGTCTAGAAGCTAGTTATACTTTTTAAGTCCCATCAGTGAAGCTGGTTTTAAAGTGACTTCCTCTGTTTCAGATCAGTTACAAAAATCTTTGAAGTCAACAAAGATGATACTTTATTAAAAAAGAGAAGAAGAAAAATGTAATAAAACAGGCATGACTAAAAACTACCATTCCACTCTTAGTATTTAGTATTCATTGGGGCAGCACAGGCTACCCAGCTAAGTAACGCACCAGATGGTACGTGATGGAGAAATATATTAAACTATGCTAATCTCATCCAGCTTCCAACTCTACTAGGAACAAAAAAAAAAACATAATCTAATATCTTTGCTACCCGGAGTCGAGGAACGCCTGGACGTGAATGTGGACATGTCAAACTCTGACCCACAGCCCGGGCAAAAAAAGCCGGTGGAATAAGTTAAAACAACAGCCTCCAAGACATGAATGAGACGGAGGAGAAAAAGAGTGAAGAAAAAGGCAGAGAGTTGTATGAGATGCTGAGGATAGCTGCTCTGTCACTGCGGCTCCATTCAGTCAACCTGTCAGGACTGTCTTTGTCACAAGTGACGTCTCTATTAAAACCCAGGCCGCCATCGGGGTTCACCCCCTCCTGTCTGCCGCACTGCTACCACGACCTCCGTGCTCTAACGGGATCAACGTGGCCTTTCACTCCTCGACCCTGGCCCAGACTCTCTCTGTCTTACTGGCCCTCACCTCCTCCCTTCAGCACTAACACACAGACACACACAGGGCAGTGGGCCTCATTGTCTCTGCAGGTCAAAATCCTGGTATAGAAATAGGAAAAAAAAAAGAATGCAGTGGAGGTTGACGGCAGTGCTGAACTTTGAAGAGCCTTTAGATAAGACCAAAAACACACTCTCAAAATTAACCCAAAACTACATTCTGTGATTTTATTATACCGTAGTCATCAGACAACAGGAGATCAAAATCTAAGAGGTTTCCCTGAACAGTTTCACTGAACAGCTTTTTTACACTGACACCCACAACACACTCCAAAATAGACGTGACAAAGACAAGGCATGGGTTGTACCCGTCTTTTTTTAACTTCACTTTTAAACCTTTACAACGCTGATTATACTATTGTTTTTTTAATTCAGTGGGAATGTTTGCCAGTTTTTGCAGTGCCAAAGACTTGGGGTAACGGTCAGTGTTAATGACTGATCTTCTCTTCATGATGCTAGCTTTTGAGCTCATCAATGATTGCAATCACGATATCTGGTTCTATTTTTTTATAAATCAAGTCCAGATTGGACAATTAAGTGGACAGTATTTGGCCCGCCAACCGCCGCTTAGTGAGCACTGACAGACTAAGATTGAAGTCCGAGCTGCGATCCTTCCATGAAAGGGAGGATAATTGGGCTTCTTCATATGTTGGAATTTTTCTTTTTTTTGCTACATCTGGGCATAGTTTCATCTGGGTTAGCTGTATTTTTGGCCTACCGGTGACACATTGTTTACTCATGCTTTCACTTTTACACCGTGGCATCCAGCTGGAGTACGTTTTGATTACTCTCTCCAGTTCCATGTTTCTGCTGATATATTTTTGTGTGTTGCTGAGCCTGCTTTTATAGGCCCCACGGAGTCACCTGTGTCAGTAATCTTCCAGTTGTACTGAGCTAAAATTGATAAATATAAGAAATGTACAGCTGCAGGGGTTTTTTATGTCTCAGCAGCCATCACGTCAGACAGTGTCTGCACTCTCTATCACACGTTTAGAATTTGGATTCCATTTCCAGCAGAATCAAAATAGACTATTGTGTCTTTTTTTCTAATTATATTTGTAGTAAATTGTTTTTTTTATTTTTTATGTTTTTCTCCAAATTTCAGCATAGTTTATTGCAAAAATATATGAGTGATTAAAATCTATTTTTATTTTTTATGAGTGATTAAAATCTGATTAAAAAATTTTTTTGGGAAACATTTATCTATTAGTCTTTGTAGTCTACAGTCTTTTCTACCTACACTGTGATATTACTAATTCATTCTCCTAACTTCCACTTCCTTCTTCCTTGGAAGCAGGGGGAGCCAGCATGAGTCAAGAGTCACCGGAGTCAGGTAAAAAGTTCTGTCCAACATAAACAACATGAAACATTGACAAACAGCCTGAAAAAGAGCTCTGATTTTTGTCTTTCTTTCTTTTTTTTTAGATGGAGACTCAACTCGGGATGTGTGCGACTTTAACTGGGACGACTACATGGAGGAAACGGGAACTATCTCCGTGCCTCATCACGCCTTCAAACATGTGGGTGCTCCGACACTAACACACTCCTCAAGAATTTGTTAGTAGTTTTCAATGATTTGTTAGTCAGAAAAATGACTCGTGTAGAAAGTGTCAGTAGGTGAGTTCCAGTGACGTGTGTGATCAGCGGCGGTGGAGACATCCAGTAAGCCTGCTGTCACACAGTACTGGTAACCTAGCATTTTTTTGTACATTTTATTTTTTGCCATATTTTTAACATAAGTTCACATGATTTTAATTAATTTGGGGATTTTCTTTTTTAGCTATTTTACCTTCACGAGAATTGATATTTTAAGTCCATTTTTAGCTTTTGGCTAATTATCGCAAATCGTGACTGAAGTCTCTAAAGAGCAACTAGATTTGATGTTGGAAGCCGTTTACAGTTGGCCATAGCAGAACTGCAGGATTTGATTAATGAGCCGTTCTTTAGTGAGGTCTTTGTGCCTTTGATAATTATAGTGATTGCTGACCTGACTTGGTCACAGTGTGTCCTTTAATCATCCCATGTTCTGGCCTCAGGTGGACCAAGGTCTCCAGACAGGATTGACCCCAGGCATGAAGCTGGAAGTGTGTGCGCGCTCGGAGCCCGACAGTCCGTACTGGGTGGCCAACATTATCACCACATGTGGCCAGCTGCTGCTGCTACGCTACGAGGGTTACCAGGACGACAGACGTGCAGATTTTTGGTGTGACATCATGACAGCAGATCTCCACCCACTGGGCTGGAGCCGCCAGCATGGCAAGACCATGAGGGCCCCTGAGGGTGAGACAGGCTTTTTACCCCCTCACCATGGAAGTTGTAGTTACAGCTGGATGCAATGGTTCAACTTTGAGTGTCAACTTCATGTCCTGTGTACATATCAGTACCAAACTGAGTATTTATTCACACACAGAGGGACGGGGTTGGGGGTGGGGCGGTGGGGGAGAATGCTCCTGGGTTTTCTCAGACAGTGTAAATTATTTTTTTGTTATCACGTTTGTCCTCGAACGTAACGGAGTGATTAAATTATTGCCGGGAACACTGCAGAGTTATGAATAGATCTGCTCTCTCTGCACAGCTTCACAAGAACTTCGTTTGTCTGTAAATGCTCAGCATCAAGTATTGACTAAAGATGTGTCATTTTTTTGTTAAGCTGATTTTTTTTTCTTCTACCTTCCATGTGTTTAATGCTACTCAGGTGTTCGTGAGAAGCACCAGGACTGGGAGAATCTGCTGGAAACTGCCCTGGCCGAGGAGTGCAGTGTACCTGCCAACTTACTGGAGCTGGTAAGTCAGGGCAGATAATCAGTTGTCCTCCTATTAAAAACTCTCCCTCACACCAGGCAGCTGTGGTCTGTTTTTAAAAACACACGATTGTGTCAGTAGTAGTTAGAGTTCTGATCAGTCTTCTCTTGATCTAAGACTGATATTTATTCAGGTGCTGAAAAGAACACATTTTTCTGATGAGCAGCTTGGACTTCCTTCCCTCCTGGTGCCTTTAGAGAATTTGTTGATGTTGATTCTAATAGCGATTTTTTTGTTCCATCACAACAATGACTTTTACCAAACCAACTGGGAATTGATGATCTTGATATTCCATGATATTGATTAATAATTAAATGTTGACCAGTGACTTTTCTTATTTTTATATGTTCTCCTATTGTGGGGCAAGTAAAACATTTATATAGCCTAGTTTATTTATTTAGCACCTTTCACAGGTAAACTAAAAGAAAATTGTTTTAATACAAATTTTCTAAATTTAATAGCTTCGTGAAGTATTTTACTTGGTACACTAAAATATCTAAAATTAAAGACAAGAGCTAAAAATATCCCTCTTTTTGTTCTGTAGTTAATGCAGTGAGTTTCCTTTGATTTTTTCTTTTTTTTGTTCCTGTTACCAAATAATGAAACTGCTGCCTTTTTGTCATGTAGCCTTTAGGTTTCAGTTTTCAGGTTACAGGCAGCTCTGCTGAGGTGTCTCAGTCCATCCTACTTTGGCAACTCTCCCAAACCCCTGCAGATTTGATGGGAATCTTTAGTTCACTTCCATTTCTTTTTCTTTAGGAATTAAGTAAAGGCTCTGAGCAAGTTGAAGATAGTCAGGTTTTTATTGAGTTTAACATGTTGTCGTTTTAGCAGTTCCTTCCAGCAGCCTCAGGACTCTCAGTTTTGAATTCTCTGAAGTATTAATATTCCACCTCCATGTTTCACTGTGCAGGCGGTTTTCTTGCATTTCTTTTTCTTGCATCTCTGAAGAGACATCTGTGTCCAGGTGTGTCTCATCTGATTTCAGTCTATGTCATCTTTATCTGGGTTGTTCTCCAGGATTTATCAGCCTGTGCTGCACTCTGTCAATCTCTTCTACTTAGAAACATTTTACCAGTGGTTGTAATCTCTCTCACTGTGATGATTTTTAACTTACTACTGAACCAAGTTTAAACCTTCAATTTTAACCTCAGTTAATTGTAGTGCTGGGTAACTATTAAAACTTTTATTTCTTACCTAATTTTGCATTGTTATCTGCAAAATAAACAAGCAAAAGAAACAACTCAGCATATATTGTAAACCTGTATGTAGACTGAACTGTGTGCACAAACAGCTGGGAGACAGTGCTTATAAAATCTTCCTGAGCTTTGAGATGCCATATATAAATGAATACATTTCATATTACTTCACTGTAACAACTGCAGTGAAGTAAAATATCACCTCAATTGCTTCACTCCAGTTTATTTGGGAGAAGTGAATTCAGATTTTATATTTAGTTTGTTTTTTAACCTCAGGTGACCAGAGTCACAACTTCAGACAATAACAGTGTCCGATGTCCCACAGCCCTTTGTTGTTTTTCTGCTCATTTTGTTTCCTTGACTTCAATCAACATCTAAAATTCATCTTTATTTACTTTTAAGATGAATAAGAACTAAGTGTGTCCATGAAGGATGTCCTGTGAGTTTCCTCTGAACTGGGACCGTGAGACCGTGATATGGTTTTAAAAGTGTCATGACAGCTCACGTGCTTCCACGGCGGTGCCAAGACTGTGGGCTTTTGTTTACAGCTTTGAGCCTCTGTGGCTGTGACTTAGCTTCCACTCAGTTGTGACTGTGTTGTCATACAATGCATTCTTTTCAAAAAATAGGTTGCCATGCACAAGTATTTGTGTTTGTGTAAACCCTTACTGCAACTGTCAAGATCCTCAGCCTTAAACTCTGGTAATTACTTCCAAAACATTAGGTAAAAAAAAAACAAAACAAAGAAAATACTCAAATCTATATGACTCCCAAAACACACATCCTTAACTTGATCTAGGAGTTTCAGATTTTTTCTGCACTCACACTGTAGTTGGTCAGTGACTTACTTTAGCTGCGTTACTCTCCTCTCCCACCTTTAGCCCCAGTGTGGTAGAGACCCCATGGAGCTCCTGTGTGCAGGCTGCTACGTGGAGCTCCAGGACAGTGCTGACCCAGGACTGGCCTGGGCCGCTGAGGTGGAGGAGAACGTTGGGGGGCGCCTGAAGCTGCGCCTGGTGGGCACCGAGGGTCTCCCAGACACACCAGCCACCCTCTGGCTCTTCTACCTCCACCCACGTATCCACCCTCCCGGCTGGGCCCAGGAGCAGGGTTGTTCCCTCAGGCCTCCTGCAGGTGAGTTCATCTGAGCTGCTCAGGTTATTGTACTTGCATGGAAAGAAGTAAACCGTTTTATTATATTTATATATTTTTATTTTAATTGCTTTACTAGCACTCCCTTAGTAATTTAGGATTGCTTTACTAGCACTCCCTTAGTAATCTACTGGTAGATCCCATATATTCCAGTCTTGACTTGTCCAACTAATTTAACCTATTATAAGGAGAGCGGTTTTCTATTTTTTTCCATTGTACTTGTGACTAATGTTAAGTTATCTCGTTCTTAGGATCGATGTTTTTTGGTCCCGGGTTTTTTTAGCTTTTTTGGAATAAAATGTTTGTAGGGATTTACGCCTTTTTAACATGTACAGTATTTGTTTCATTTATTTAAATTTATAAATGTATTGGTATTTCTACAGAGTATTCTGCAGTAAGGATCTATTTTTAAAGGAATTTATTAATGGCTAATCTGTTGGCTAAATTTAGCTTCCACTTCTTTACTTTGCTCAATTTGATTTATATATTATTTATATATATTTTAGCTTAAATGCTGTTTATTTATTATTTTAGGATTTAGAATAAATACAATGTATTGTATTATTTATTAAATATAATAATCATTAAAATATATATATATATTATGTTTTTGTACTAAGCCTTAATTATTTAAGATAATCCTTTAGCCAAACAATGGTTGCATTTTTCTGTCTCAGGTTGAGCTCTATTCATATCTGGCCTCATTCATTCCTCCTTCTGCTCCAGTCGATGGTTTTTATGCTTAGTGCAGTTTAACTGCATATTTATTATTGCTTAAAGAGGAAACTCTCTCTAATCAGTCATGCAACTACACCCTAACACCGTGTCTCTAGATCCCTGCAGCTGAAATACTTTACAAAACCGTAAGGTTCTCCAGAGTGCACTGGTTACACATTGACTACAATGTGACACAGAAACACTTTAATTCTCTGGCATGCATTACAGAAATGCTTTGACATAACATGCCTTCACAACAGGCGTGGAATTTACCGTATGTTCACTACAGAAGTCATGTTGGACATTTACCTACCTACATTTGCTGAAATGACTATTTATTAACAGTTAAGTTAAAGGAAAATTCAATAAAAAAAACATTTAGGTCATAGTTCTTTTTGGTAATGCAACAAAACAATGGAAAAAATTTGATGTAATTTTTCTTCTATATCATTTTTGTAGACTTAGTCTTTCATATATTAAATTGTTGCCTGCAACCTTGCACATTGTCTTAAAAGAAAATGTGGAGAAAGCCGATTGTGTTTGTTACAAGGGTTATTTTTCAAGCAAAAATTTTCGAGCGATTGAAGGAAGTAATATGCATCCAGACAGACAGGTTTGGATCATTTACATACTGTGTGTGGAGTAGGAGAGTTTGCCCTTTTTTCCATAAATATGTGAGAGTTTGCTCAGCAGTTGATTTGCATGTATTTGCTTGTTTTAGATCTGCTGGCGCTGCGCACAGAGGAGGAGTGGGAGGAGGTGAGGCAGAGGATCAGTGAGCTGCCTCAGGATGAAGCTCTGACTGCAGAGCTTAGTAAGGTACAGATTTTTATGCAAAGATTTTCTTTTTTTTACACTGCAACATAATACGATTAATATTTGATTGGCGATCTCTAATTGCCAATCAAAGCAAAGAGATTAGAGCTGCTAATCCCTTCAGGGAACATCTGTAAACACAGCACAATGTTTACAAAAAGGTCGACCATGTTCAAACCCCCAGGCACTGATACTGCTGTTTCCTTCTGCTCATTAGTATGCATTTATAAGCGAGTCAACTTTATTTAGTGTCAGGGAATTTTTTTAAGACAGTATTGTCTTTGGTTTCATAGTGTAGCGGTTAATGCCTGCTTACACATCTGCCACACAGAAGGTCCTTGGTTCATGCCCCAGAGCCACCACATACTTAATAGCGCCCTCGTGGCAGCCTGCGTGGGCTGCAAAGACTCACACTGTGAATTTCCCCATTGTGAGGCAAAAATGCAACTTCAATTTTTTTTTTATTCAGCAGGTAAATGTAGGTTTGTAGGTTGGAAAGGATTTTATATTTTTCTCTGCTGTTAGATCAGAGGTCATTCTTAAGGCTTTGAAGAATGACACGCCATAAATGAGGCATAAACTCTGTGCCCAACATCTTGGTATTAAACTAAGGCCAACACTTTAGAAGCTTCATTAGAGGTGTAAGCATCGTTCTAGATGCCACTGTGTCACCGCAAGGAGGACAGAACAGAGTCATAATTGATTTTCTTTTCCTCGTCTAATTTTAATTGCTGGGTTCCTTTGAAAACTGGATGTAGTGGATGTATAAAAACACTGTCCCAGGTTGTGGGGTTAAAGAGGTTAGGGCCCATAAAAACACACTTTAAAAAAATGATATTAAAAAGGGAATTGAAAGCCCACAGCAGCATTCCCCATGAAAATCACAGAAAATAGTTTTTTAAATCAAATAATGCATTGTTACAATCAAAATGCAGTGTTATCAGGACTGTTTGATCCACACAAAATCCATAAGAATGTCAAGATTTTGAGAGCTGTAACATTTTTGAGGTGTGAAGATTAGCTCATATGCAACAACACAAACAGCTTTGAAAAAAGCAACTTGTTCCTCACGCAAAGAGCTGCTTCATAAATAATCATAATCTAGATTGTTATGGTAATATTTGGCGTCACTAATTCTGGAAACACGTATGCATGTATTGCACATAATGATCAGCAAATGTCATATGTTATTTACGTCTCGAGTTTCCCCCTATAACATTGGAACAAACGTCAGCATCGTCATCATTTTAGTCATTAGTCAGTAGTCATGATTAGTCATCTTCCTTTGACCCTCAACACTATTCCAACTTTTACCTTTTAAAGACATGTCTAGAACCTTGTCTTCAGAGCTGACAATTGTCAAGTGTGAAGGTGAAATGTACTGCTGAAGGCTGTGGCAACACTGTGTGAATCATAGCTGAAAGAAATAGAGCTGTAACCAGAGGCAGCGTTTTAATGGCCTTTGGAAATTCTTTGAAAACAAAACATAAATTGCTCAGTCCTGTCCTGTCCTGACCAGGCTCCAGAGTTGAGGTGTGAAGCATATTGTTGTAATTTTAGTGTCAGTTGGAATTCCAAAAAAAAAAAAAAAAAAGTTACATTGTTTTTTTCAACAGGGACAAAACTCGTTTTCCTTTAGCTTACCATGGTACCATGGTGGCTTTTCTATCATCCATACATATCATTGGAAACAGTGTACACCTGTGTTGAATACCGCAGTCTGATCACAATGATGAAATATTAAAAATGATGTTCTATTCCTCACGGCCCCACACCAGTTTCATTTCATGTGCTGTATATATGTCTGTATGGAAAGTGCAAGGAAAATATCTTGTCTTTTACATGTCCTCATACATATGACAAATATGTGTCAACTTGCGGTAAGTGAGAGTGAGTAAGACGATCTGTGATTCATATCCAGTATTTTACTTTGTCAAAAAGCAACTCTGAGTGTCCACCACAGACCCAGGCTGCGCACAAGCTGAGCTTTTTAAATAAAAAGACATTCCAACGTTTCCGAATGTTTTTTTTTGTTGTTGTTTTTTTTAATGTAAACTGTTTACCATCGCTTCCTGTCTTTTCCTGCCTGATGTTTGCTGCCAGATTGCTGGAAGCGCTTCCTCTGACAGTCACAGCTGTCCGAGCAGCATCTGCTCTGACAACACAGCAGTGTGCTGCCGGTCTTCTAAGAGACAGCAAAGACTCAACTTGAAAAAAAGTTCATAGTTATTTTCAGAATGGTACATTATAGTATAGTAACAAACAGTGTATCTTATTAATGTAATATTAATGACTGATATGAAATAAATGAACGTCTGTCTGTTAAACCACATATGCTGTGGCTCAACTTGGTTCATCTCTTCAGTTTATTCAGGCCGTGTATATATATGTATCATCACATATGTATATGTGATGATAGTTTGCCAGTGTAAAATAAAGAGGTATGGTTTAGCATTCATATTGTTGTTTTTTTTTTTTCAGGATCAGCCTGCAATGGCTGCTCATTGTTTCAAAGAAGGAATGAAAGTGGAGGCTGTTGATCCTGCTGCTCCTATTTCCATCAGACCTGCCACTGTCACCAAGGTAACAGACTTTTTCTACCAGCTCTCTTTCTACTACCGAGGTTTTTTTTTTTCTTCCTATTCACTGGCTGCTGCAGATGCTTTTTTACCCACAATGACAAACTCACCATGTTGGGAATGAGAAACAATCACACACAATTTCTTTTTCATGTGGCTGAGCATTTGTTCTTTCATATTCGGAGTTCCACAGTGGCTATACAAAAGTTCTGCTAGTCATTAAAATTAATATTCTTTTAACGACTGAACGGCTGCCTTTTGGGACGCTCGCCAAAAAAGGATCATTACTTTTCCTGGATAATCCTTTTTTTACAGCTTGATTTTTACATGTTATAACCGTTTTTCTAAAGGTTAACAGTGGTTAAAAATATATTTTTTTAATATAATAACGTAATAATTTATAAATACCTTTCATTATTGAATGGACTGTTGAAACATAGGAAGGACTTGAGGAAGAAATTTTTGTTCTGTTAAATTTTAACCTAATTATAGGTTTTAAATTTAATGTGCTGCGTTAACTGTGGCTAGTTATTGCATATCTGTATAAAATCAGATACCGTACTAATTAATATTCAAGTAACATGAATGTAGTAAAAACATCCATAAAGGATCAAAGTCAGCGCTCTGCTATTTTAGTCATGTTAGATCATTAGCCGCTGCGCTAAAGACACCCACGCTCATTGATATGCTTACTGTATGAAAAAGCATTTAAGAAAATAGAGTCACTCACTAAAGATTAAACATCTCCTTTCTTTGCGCTGCGTACATTTGATCATCATCTGACTGAAAGCTGTTGTGTTAATGTGTTAATTTAATTTAATTAAAATTTCTCTATAAATATTCCAAGAATCCAGCCAATGGAGAAAAACAACAACCACACCCTTTTTCCCCCACAGGTTTTCAATGAGCAGTACTTCCTGGTGACTATGGACGACCTCTGCGGCATGGAGGAGTCCGAGGGTTCAGGTCGCTCCTTCCTGTGTCACAAGGACAGTCCAGGAATCTTCCCAGCCCAGTGGAGCCTCAAAAATGGCCTCCCTCTCAGCCCGCCACCAGGTCAGCACTGACAAACGCTCTCTTCTTATTCTCACCGCTGATTGAATCTGTGATACCGCGAAGTCAGATGTGATTAGATAAGCACTTCCTTTATCCTCTCTGTCTGCCTCTCTGCCCTCATCGGGTTCAAATGTTTATCCCTTATGTCTCCTATTCTGTTATCTCTCTGTTCTCTCCATTCATTCATCATGTTCAGGATACCAGGGTCCAGACTTTGACTGGGCAGATTACCTGAAACAATGCGAGGCTGAGGCTGCTCCAGAACACTGCTTCTCAACTGTGAGTCAGCTGTGGGTTTTTTTTGTTTGTTTTGTTTTTTTTAAACAATTTAACACTAAATTCATGTTGGTCGCACTTCAGTGCAAGTCACAAGATCACAAACCTGTGAATAAACTTGTGTTTTCTCTCCTTCTTTAATTACCTGCCAGGAGCAATGTGATCACAGCTTTAAGGAGGCCATGAAACTGGAAGCGGTCAACCCTCTGTCACCTGAGAATATACATGTAGCCACAGTGACCAAGGTCAAAGGGCAGTACGTTTGGCTCAGCCTGGAAGGTGAGACCAAATGCTTATAAAAATGTTTTCGTCGAAGTATTTCAGAATAGAAAATGTGCGAGTGTCATCTTCTCACGATTCCTGTCAACATACGTCCGTGTACTGGACACGTTCACCATTTACTTCCTGTACAAACAGATTACAGAAACGGTCCACTGATAATACAGAGAAAAGTTTGTTTACATGTTTTCTATCTGAGGTTTTTTTTTTATTTATTGCAGAGTGCGGAGCACAGACTACAGTATTTAAGGCCTCCTCCTCTGTGTTTGTGTTTGTGTTTGTCTAGGACTGAAGCAGCCGATGCCTGAGCTGATTGTTCACATCGATTCTCTGGACATCTTCCCAGTCAGCTGGTGTGAGACAAATGGATATCCACTGGTTTATCCCATCAAGCCCTCAGGTACACCCCAGTGTGAAATGAGTCACCATGATAAACACTCGTGCCAACTACACACATCCCATGTTGGCAACGGTGTGATAAATATAGAGCAGAGTTTGTTTGTTTTCCATGCTGTCTTAACATGATAGCGTGACTGTAGTCACGTCAGTCTTTCTTTGTTTTTTAGTGGAGAAAGAGAGGAAGATCGCTGTGGTGCAGCCAGAGAAACAGTGAGTATGTGGCCAACGTTGAGCCACCTGGACTGGTTTACGGGTCTGATTGGAGCCAGTCCAACAGCACTTCAGCATCTGACTCAGCTTTCATCTCTTCACAGCAGAACTCCACCAAAGTCTTTGTCACCTGACACTGTCAAGCAGCAGATGGCCAACCAGTCCGAAACAGGCAAGTGGTGCCGTGTGTCTGAGCTCATAATGAAGGGTTTAAAACTGTGAAGAGTTTGAAGCAGGGTGAGAAATCAGTGGAATTTAAAACCAAAATATCCTTTGGAAAATTATATTATTTATAAAAATACTACAGCAGGTTGGACTGGGCAAAAACACTGAATAAGAAAAACAGAAGTTAGCAAAAATAGATGAAATGACACAGCCTAAACCTAAAATTAGCAGATGGTTTTAATTCCTGTTTTTCTCTTTGACTTCAATTTGTCGAGGCTTGTAATGTCAGTGTTTTGATTTGTCAATGAGACTGAATCCAAAAAGGAAAGTGAACTACTTGACACAATTGACCACTGCATTTTACCCATCACCAACGTGAACAGTGGGAGCAGTGTGTGGAAACAAAGTGAACAGTGGGAGCAGTGTGTGGAAAGGGTGCCAAGCTCAGAGCACCTCAGTAGTAACTTGGCAGCTGGTGGACTCAAACCTGAAACCTTCAGGACCCAAGTCTGCTTCCTTAACCACCAAGCCACCACTGCCCTTTTAAAGTTGGCAAAAAAGAGTATTAAATTGCTTTAAAATGCTCTAAAATGACCTTGAATCCCATTTTACTGAAGCAGAAAAAATGTGTGTGCTAAATAAAACCAATCTCTTCACTGACCTGCAGTCACTGTTGTGTTCCATCTCTTCTGACTGACTTTATCTACGTGCAGGACAGGGTAACGGAAAGTACTGCTGCCCTAAGATCTACTTCAACCACCGTTGCTTCTCTGGGCCGTACCTTAACAAGGGACGCATCGCTGAGCTGCCTCAGTTCATCGGCCCTGGAAACTGTGTCCTAGTGCTCAAAGAGGTAAAAAGGCTCCGACATCATTAAATCCTTCTCCAGATTCCTAAAGCACAGCTAATATGGCTGCTGTGATTGGTTAAGTGGTGTTTTAGCTCCATTTCTATTTGCTAAAATGTTTCATTTTTAACTCTTTACATAAAAAAGGAGTGTTATATTTCCATGTGTGTGGTGTGCCCAGGTATTGACTTTGCTGATAAACTCAGCGTACAAACCCAGCCGCGTGCTGAGAGAGCTGCAGCTGGACCAGGAGAGCCGCTGGCAAGGCCACGGAGAGACACTCAAAGCAAAGTGAGTGGAAACAGTGTGAAATAATCAGACCTAAATTATCTCCACTCTTCAGATAGTGGGGGTATCAAACTGTTCTCAGCTGGCCTTTCTCTACAACACACTACATTAAATGTGCTTAAATGCACACGTGTGCATGAATGAGGCGACACTTATTTAATCAACAAATTCAATTCAGAAGTGATCCAGGCTAATGGAAGTGGACTTGAAATCAAGGGCACTTTGTTGTAGGACAGTTTGGTAGAACATTTAGTGCACATTTGGTTATAGGTTAAACTGGTAGCTTTCTACGTTTATTTCTTACATACTTGTTTAATAAAAGAAATAGCTTAAGAGCTAAAGTTTGTTTTTTGAGCTAAAAATGTTTTTGTAGACAAATGTAAACTTGTTAGCACAGAAAAGCTAAAGCTAAAAAAAAACACAAAAAAGAACTTTAACATTTCTTTCTGTGACTTTTCTACTGCGGTGACAACAGCAGCTACAAGCCTTCACAACACTGTGTTCTTTGTTTCTCTCGTATTTTTATTTCAGGTACAAGGGTAAAAGCTACCGGGCCACTGTGGAAATCGTCCGCACAGCAGACCGGGTGGCCGACTTCTGCAGAAAAACCTGCATCAAGCTGGAGTGCTGCCCAAATCTGTTTGGGCCCCGCATGGTTCTGGAGCGCTGCTCTGAGAACTGCTCCGTCCTCACCAAGACCAAATACAGTAGGTGGAAAACACAGAAATGTGTCATACTGCATTTACAAAGTTCTTGTAGATCAGATCAGTGTTGCAACTTTCTTGTAAAGCAATGTTGACTTTTTCAAACTGCATCAACTGAGGCAAGGCCACGTACTGAATAACACATACTTCACATTCAAGTAGAAAAAACAACTCAGAAAATATCACATATCTGATTTGAAGTTATTTGAAGCTCCTCAAATAACTGCTGACACATTTATAAAAAAAACTGACTTGAGTAATGAAAGTATCAAAAAGTGCTACATGAGAACACTGAGGGGAACACAGATGAGATTGCCTTTCCAGAGATTTTTTTCCTAACTATCTCCAATGCGAGCACGAGAGTGAAGTAGAGCATTGAAAATTGCCTCTCCTCCTTCACACAGCTGTTTGTCCCACTGCTCCCCCACTACAACTGTCACCAGGTCAGCCCTGCTCCCTGCTGCAGTCAGTCGTGGAGCCTGCTGTTGTATTCATGAATTCACTGCTGTTCATGAGAGAATAGAATGTGTTTGGTTGGCGTCCTTCTTCAACCTGTTGTCAGCTGTTTGTTTACATTCTTTAAATTACGTCTTGTGACTTATAAATAGCCGCTTGCGCAGGAAGCTTTAGTTGAGACATAGGAAAAGATTTCATTTTGACAAACGTGGTCCGGGTGTTGCATGTGCTTTTGTTAATTAGCCAGTAAAGCCATTGCAATTAAAATCATAATGGTTAATACCAAATGTTGACTAAGCAGAACTTAACCCAGGATTTTCTTCCTTTTTTTATGCCTCTCTTGTAGACACCAAAAAAGCTAAATGTTGAAACTGACAATAAGATTCTTAAATGAGTTCCAGTCCTGTAGGAAGGAGAACAAATGTCTTTTAGCCGGAAATTGAACACATTCATTGGGATTATTAAAACAAAGAAATATTGAAAAAGTATGAAAGTAACAGTTACTGCCTCTGTTTTATACTGTTTTTCCACTGTATAAGGCAAAACCATATGATCACTCTGTGACTTTAATACACAACCAGATCATCTGATCACATTTGAAATGCTTATGTCTATCTGTGTGTGTGTTCAAAATAAAACAAGTATTTTATTTTCAGCATATTACTATGGGAAGAAGAAGAGCAAACGAGTGGGCCGTCCACCAGGGGGCCACACTAACTTAGAGGGTGGCGTGAAGAGGCGAGGCAGGAGGAGAAAGAGGAGGAAGCAACTCTTTGTCCATAAGAAGAGACGCTCCTCGGCCTCTGTGGACAACACACCTGCAGGTTCACCCCAGGTTAGTCGCATCACAGGAATTAAGGAAAAAGAAATGTTTTCATCCACTGCTTTTAGGCCTGTCTTAATATTTAGTTTTCCTTTTGTCACTGAATAAACTTCCTTTCCGTGCACAGTTGTCATTATCAAGTCTTAAAACTTCATTTAACGTGTCTTAACAAGTTCACGTGTTTCCTGTTTTTCACAGGGCAGCGGCGAAGAAGAAGATTTAGATGAGGACGACTCTCTCAGTGAGGACTCCGGCTCTGAGCTGCAGGACGACCTCCAGGATGATTCTGAACAATCTGTGGGGAAGTCTCAGCCCACCACGCCGTCCCCTTCCCCACCAGCAACGCCCAGGCCCACACGCCGCCGCAGGAAACCACGCTCGCCCTCCTTCTCTGATGATGAGAACCGCCCTCCCTCACCAAAGGTGAAAAACGTTGACAAATTATTCTTTGGCACAAACTAGATGAGCGCTGGATTTTTTATTTTAATGTCTTATTTTAAAGGGAAACTCTTTAAAGTGATTTCCTTTGATAGCCGCCATCTGGGGATAATTTGTGCAGATTAAGTCAAACTATCAGACCTTCTTTTAATCTCCAACGGTGTCTCTGTTTTCACAGACCTCAAAGACTGAGCCTCCTCAGAAGTTGTGTTTGGACACCAGTCCCCTGGAGTGGAGCGTTACTGATGTGGTTCGTTTCATCAGGAGCACTGACTGTGCACCTCTTGCTAGGATTTTCTTGGATCAGGTAAGAAACGCTCAGCCCTAAAGTCCATTTTTTAATTGGTTTTGACAACTCTGCGGTGCCAGCACGTGAGACACAGCAGCTGATGACTCTGATAAAACCAGAAAAGGAGGACGGTGCACTTATGTCATCAAAGCTTGGTGCAGAAAACTGTAGACCAATAGAAAGACAGGTAACTGGAAATGCATATTGATAATAACTGCTGCAAATATTCTCCTGATTGCTAACAATAAAATAAAAGAAGGTTAGCAAACTTCAGTCAGCACAACTAGAGGCTACTGTAAACGACTGTTTATGATGGGAGAGATCACAGACATATGATCTGTCAAACAAACTAAAGCCAACTGAATCCATCAAACATCAGAAAATTGCACACGCTGTTGCGATTTTCCAATTTCCAATGAGGAGACATTAACCGTTTTTAATATGAAGTCAGGATTTCGTAAATCTCAGGATTTCGTAAATCTCAGGATTTCGTAAATCTCATCAACTTGTTTCCTGCCACTCAGTGGCTGCTCTGTGACCACCTCACACAGCATATAAGAAAAGGAGATCAAAGAAGTGGCAGATGTCAGGAAGTCATACTATTGACTGGAAGAGGCAGAGCTACAGTAATGGACAGCACATAGGCATCATCATCATCATCATCATCATCATCATGGCTGGCTCTCAGTACAAGATCAATAAAGCTGTGGACTATCTCACCAGACAGGAACTAATGTCCAAACTGAGCAGAGTCCAACATTTACAGTCCCATAATAAATGAATTGTTTGGAAGAAAGTTTGTGCTCAGTATGACCTGGAGGAAAGCTCCTACTGTAAGCTGGTCAAAAATGTCACGGCTCAGCTCCTGTGAGAAGTCCAAATCATTGTTACCAACTGGTGACGGCCGTAAAAAAAACCTGACACGGACAGAACAAGACAAGACAAGATAACATGGTGCAGGAATATGAAAGACAGCTGAACAAGCAGGAACACAAGATCATGAAAAATATCAAGGCTTCAAAGAGGAGCTGGAGTGAACGCAGCCGTTCACTGTTCAATAAGATGATGCCCATAGATAATGTTACAGGCCTGGCTCAGAGGGAAACAACATAAAGGAGTCATTAAGGTAAAAGAAAAATGGTCTTCATTGTTATAATTACTCTTTAACGACAATAACAGAGGAGGAGTGTCTGAAGACAGTGGTCTCTGGATGTGGCTGCTGGTTGAGGCTGACAGTGAGGGAGGGGCTTGGCTCTGGCTTTTAGAGACAACCTTCAAGCAGGTAATCAGAGATTGATTGATTGACCATATGGAGGGCAGAGAGTGCCACGCACAGCTATACAGAGGAAATGGAGAAGGAGTGCTTCAAAGAAACACGGACGTTTGTTCAGTACAAAATGGATCAAATTTTCATTATTGCACCTGTCTTAGTTCATAGTTTGGATGGTATGAAATCATAATACAGACATCACAAAGTACGTACACTTTGGCAGAAATCACTAAAGGAATTATAATACATAATGTTGAAAAAGTCAAGAGTCATACAGTGTTGTTTTAGATATTGATTAATTCAACCATTGTTGGGAAGCTGCTCAATCTCTGTTGACTGTGAGTTAAGGTTCATGTTTGTTCCCAGTCAGACTCTGAAATCCACACTGACCCTGTGTCAGAAAACAACAGCTCTCCAGAGTAGGACCTTGACAAACTACATACAGCAGAAAAAAAAAATGTTTTTTG